CAATTAATTCAATTAATTCAATTAATTCAATTAATTCATTTATTTCCAAAGGGGGGGGAGGGGTGGGGGCTGGGGAATCCCCCCCATTTGGAAATAAATGAATTAATTGAATTAATTGAATTAATCGAAATAATTCAACTAATTCAATTAATTCAATTAATTCATTTATTTCCAAAGGGGAGGTGGAATTAATTGAATTAATTGAATTAATTCCAATTAATTCAATTAATTCAATTAATTCAATTAATTCAATTAATTCAATTAATTCATTTATTTCAAAGGGGGGGGTTCAATTAATTCAATTAATTCAATTAATTCAATTAATTCAATTAATTCAATTAATTCAACTAATTCAATTAATTCCACCCCCCCTTTGGAAATAAATGAATTAATTGAATTAATTGATTAAATTCATTAAATTCCAGGGGGAAAGTGGAAATTAAGGAATTTAATGAATTAAATTCTGTCTGTGCAACCCTACAGGACCTAAAATAGGGTCTATTTGGAACATGGCTCTTGTGAATAAGTATACGTTTTGGGGCCTGTTTTCCTCTTGTAAATACGATTCCCAGCTTCCAAATAGACCCTATTTAAGCTGCACACGGGGGGGGGGCTCGGTTCCTACAGGCCAAAGGCTTTACACACCTGCACAACAGAAAATGTGGCAGCCACCGGAGACTTAAACCACCTCGCAAAAGCTTAGAACACCTGCGAGCGTAAGATCTACCTTTCGTCACTCCGGCGGGTCTTGGTGGCCATGGGTGTGACGACCGGTGCGGGCGCATAAGTTGGCACCGCCTGCGCAGAGGGGTTGAAGGTTCTAGGTCCATGCATGCCTACGACGTCTTGAAGCTTTTTGGCCGTCTCTAGCCCCAGGAGTACTGCTTGTTACAGCACTCTAATCCCCTCAGCCTGTACACGGCTTCGTTTTGCCTATGCTTCATTCAGCTGACTGCTGCGACCCACATGGAAGCCATGTGCTTTCAGATCATGACTGAGGTCTGGGGCGTAGTGATGCAGTCTTCAGCGCAGCTACATGGATGTTGTCACTCACCGCTGTTGGAATTGCGTGATGTTGTGGAGAACCTCAGCCCTTCAGGCTGGCTGTCATTAAGCGTGGCATGCTGCTACTTTGTTTGGCAGATGCTGTGTAAATGCATGCCTGAAGTTGCAAAGGCTGCACCTTCCAAAGCAGGCCTTGTGCTTCCAAAATGGCTCAGAAATTTCAGGGTGAGCTCAGGAGGGTGTGGGATGTAGCCTTGGGACGATCGGAACTCCTTTCTGCTGGGGATTGTTTTTTTGCTGGGAGGAAGTGACTGAGAATTTGACCTTGGTTGGGGCAGCTGTCGTGGAGGCCGCGGTCGCTGCTGCAGCCGCCTGGTGTCAATCGCAGAGCTGCAGGTGTGCAGTTTCGGGGGCTGAGGAGTTGGGATTTAGAGGCTTGGGGCTCTGAAAGTACTGTAGGCCTTCCCCGGGCCGGCCAACACACGATGCCAAGCAGACTTATGCGCGGCCACTTGTACACTCAGGGAAGGCCCCAGACATGCTCCAGACATCCCCAGGCCCCACTCACTCAGACCCCAGCCTCTGAAAATGGAATTCTCTACTGGTCATGCATCCGCGACCTGCGTCGCCGCTGCAGGTGCGGGCGCTGCGACCTGTGAAGCTCCACCCCGCTGCTCTTAAAATTTGCTGGGGAGGTTGAGGCTTTGGGGACAAGTTGCAAAGGTTTCGGGGGTGCCAGGCGAAGGACTCTGAGACTCATGGCGAAGGACTTGGAAGGACTTGGGACAGTTTTGGGCAGCAACCTGGCAGGTTGTTTTGGGTTGGGCAATTTACAGCTTCAAGGTCTCGGCTGTCTGAATGAGGACCATGCCCGCAGCCTTCCTGGGCCTCTTTTTCCTGAGGTCACTCCGAAGCCGCTCCCTGCCTGGTTGGCCCGAACCGCAGGCTGGCTAATAGCTATGCCTTCGGCCCTACGTGATTCGATGTTTGCCTGCGCTTTCTTTGCAACGACATAACTTTCAGCATCCCACATCCCAAAGAGACCCAGCGATCCCAAAGCCACCGACCTAAATGAAGGCCACAATCCGAATCCAAGCATGCAACTTACTCTACCTTTGGATGCGGGTGCTGTGCTATCTTTGGCCTGTGTCCATACCCAAAATGATTCGTTCATCTTCGTCTTTCAAGCTTCGTTTTCCGGACTCTAGTGGCTCCAGTGTCCTGATTTCGCTGACGGCTCGTGCAAAATTGGGCCTGAATCTTCGCATGTTGCCTTGTAATTGCCCTGAGCTAGCCTTTTTTGCGAGCTCCTCTTGGGGCCTCAGCACTCGGGCGTCCGTGCTTGCAGAAAGTGCAAGCAGCAAGGCCTCGTCCACTGCTAACCTCGACTCCTCTCGCGCGACCAGGGCCACTGCCTTCCCAGCCAAGGCAAGCCTAGGTGCCTAGAGCAAGGACATTGAACGTTAAGGAGGGTTGAAGATGTTCAAAGCTCATAACTGGCATTTCTGCTTTCATTGTTTGCAGTGTTCTATTTATCTCTGAATCAAAGTTCTTCTTGCTACTTGACAGTTGCTTCTTGTCGTTCTCTATGACTTGTTTGTGTCAGGTCTCTTTGGCCACCCAGGTTTAGTGAGGTTCAGGGCGCAACTTTTTAACTTGGGCTCAGCAGCCCGGGGAAGAACCCAAAGCACTGCGGGCACTGGGGCTGTGGGCATGTTGGGCCATAAGGTTCCGAGTATGCGGCTTCGAACTTGGGCGGATTGTGAATGCGGCTTCGAGGCCGCCCCTCCGGAAGGGTTGGGGTCGACATTTGGGGCTCTCTTTGACGGGCGTTCAGAGATGCTGAGCACCTAAACGCCCACCAGACTTGACTCTCAGGGCAGCCGGCAACCCCCGAAGCCGATAACCCCTGAAGCCGAAACCCTGACGAGTTTTCTTCAGACAGCCTGACCTGGGAGCAAAGGCACGCAGCCAGGAGCACGGAACCCACCTGGGCCCGTTTTAGGTGGGCAGTTTCCCCCCATATCGCCCTTTCAGAAGCCCTTAGTGGACTTCCTCACCCCTTATAGATGCCTCGTATGGGGCACCTTAGCTTGGAACAAGGATCCGAGAGGGGGGGAGGGTGGACGGGGCTTCAAGCTGGCCTTCAGGCGCTTTTGAGAGGATGCCAGCTGAAAGGCTGGACATGTCTCCATCCCTAGCGCATGCAGCAGCAAGAGCAGCAATAGATTCTAGCTGATCCTCAGCACACGGACATCTCCATAGCCACAGATATGTGTAAACTGGTAGACATTCGTCCGAGGAGCCATGCTGTGCATCGGGGTCGCCCCCCGCAGCAGCTTCATTTCTGTGAGTGAGAATAGGGGCTTGAGCCCTGGGCGTGAGCCCTGACAAGGACAACCGGGCAACTTGCGTGACTTTCCGGGCAATCTGCTCCTTCAGGGTTCCGGCTGTAGGGATTCCCTCGGCGATTACTTGTGAACCCTCTTCGCTAACAAAAGAAGGTGGACACTCCAACCCTCCTCGAACATGATCTACGATGTCGGGTGGGATGGTAACGGAAACTAAAAGGGCTGTATCCGAAACCAGGCCGGAAACCGCAACAGAAACGGAGAAAAATGCAACGCACCATGCCCGAGACGACGCGGAAACCCGACGCAGGCGAAACGGTAACCCCCAACGGCAACCAACTAGAGGTTGTCACGGAAACCGCAATTCCCTGCCCAAGCCTCTAACCCAAACCCTGATGAGTCCGAAAATCATCATGGATTGCAGGGTTAGTGTCTGTTGTCCTCCCCCCGGGTTGTCTTACGGTCAGTTTCCGTCGCGCCTTCCCTTTCGGTCGCTCTTTTCCGGGGTCCAGGTTGCTTTCCATCACAGGCAACCTTTCTGAAACACTGTGCTGTTTTCCCTTATGTGTACTCTACGACATCGTCATTTCATTCATGCCCCGGCAAAGCGAAAGCTTTTTGTGCACCCGAACACTACTCAAAGCCCAAACGTCCCCACATCACAGCAAAATGCACCCCCGAAGCCTGAACTCCTGCAATCTCCTGCACAGCCCCCGTCTCACCACCCCGGAAAAGGATACCATGCCAAAGGAGGTTGGCGAGGGCGTGCCGACTGAGAGCGCCACCTCCCTTACAGGGGGCACCTCGTGAGGAGCAGCCCCTAACCGCTCGTTGCTTCGGCTGCTCTTGATGGCTAATCTGCAGCTCCAACTGTTCGGGCTCCGGTGTTTCGTGTGTCCTCGAAAGATCCTTCCTGCGCCTCAAGCCCTGATTAACGCTTGAGGCTGTTGGCATTGGAGCACAGCTTCCGAGCTTGAATGAATCGTCGAACTACAACTACACCCTAAAGGCTCACCCTCCCATGACAAAGAACACAGGACCTCCTGGTCTCAGAAAGACATGCGAAGTCAAAACGATCCTTCCAAGCATCCTGAGCAAAACTCTCTCACATGGAACCACACGGCACAACCGCTCGAAAGCTGCACCCATCTGAACGTTTTTCGAATCTTCACATACTTCAATACTGCGACACCCCCTCCGCACTTCCTAATGAAGATCCACGGGTCGTTGCTTTTTGGCTTGACGGCTGTTTGCCGTTGCTTCTGCCAGCCCCATCGCCACTTCTGGGCATGGGAGAAAAGCAAAAGTTGTCCTGTGCTTGGGTATTACTTGTATCAGAGTCCGAGTGCTTCGTGCCACCCAGCCTCACACGTGTGGATTCGGAGGGGACACCAACCGCTACAATCCCTGCGGAGGTGTAGAAAACCGAATCTCAAGCTCTTGTGAAACGAGATGCTGGACTGGCAGGGGGAGTTGGGCTTGAGTGTTGCCTTGAGGGTTACGGTTTGCATCGGCGTCACATCGCCAAGCGTGCGCATCTCTCAGCTGAGTCGACATTCCTCGGCCGGAACCCGAATGAAAAACAAAAAAAAAGGTGACTGAAAGCACATAGCACATTTAGCACTTGGCAATTTCTCAAGAGCTCTAGCCGACCAGCAGATCTGCAAAAAGAAAGAAGAAAAAGCCGCCGGGATTCATGGAGTCCAAGATCTTGCGGAAGCTGTTCTCCTTGCACCAGATGGCCGAGGCATCCAGCGGCAGGATCATGCTGCGCCGCATGTCGCTGGTGAACCTGGGTCCCGCCCCCAGGCTCAGGCGACTCAGGCAAGCCCATGGGTGTGGACCCCAAAAAGTCCCCCCCTTTGTTGCTCCTTTTGCAGATCTTGGGGACTTCATGTACAAGCCCGGGTCGTCCCGCAGCTGAACCATGAACGCAGGGTCCACACGCTCGAAGAGCTTCACGCGGGTGTCGGTCATGTTCGCCTGCGCGACAGCGCTCTATTGCACAAGGTTGGGGGGCTTCAGGATTTTGGGAACAAAGGCCCATTACGGCAAGTTGCCATCCAGGAGAAGCCGAGAGAGCCGCAAGGGTCTCGGATATGCACTCTGGGGCCTCAGCTTCGGCAATTTGAGGTTGTCAAAGAACGGACTCACCAGAAGCCGTGTGTGGTGCTGCAATCGGCCCCGATTCCCTGGCTGTGATCGACTCATGATGTTCGGGATTTGACGGAACAATTCCCAAGCTTTGAAGCCAACACAACTCCCAGAAAATATCCGTACGCTGCACGTTCTAGTGTAAGAAACGCCATCAAGGATCCTGGGCTTGAACACTGAACTGCTGCAAGGCACTATGCCACCAGGTCCACAGGCTTAGGTCCTCGAAGATAGTCCTGGAGCTGTTGGCTTGGTAGTTGTCTTTTTGGCTTTGTCTTATGCAATGCCCCTATTTTTGGTGAAGGGGTGCAGGGTGCAGCGTTCGGCATGCCAGAGCTAGCAGATCTGTTGACATGCTAGTCGCCGGGGTTCACGCCAGGGGCCTCTGTTCACAACCCTCTCCGCCTGTGAGTTTGCAGCCAGTTCGATGTGCATGCGTGCACATAGCATGCAACTCAAAAGCCAGGCATTCCAACAACACCCATACTGTAGATCAAGCCTGTAACATCTCCCACAAGAATCCCAAAACCCGGAAAATCAGGAAGCATCTGCATGGCCTGAACATGCAGGCATCTGTGGAGAGGTACGCCCGAATCCCGAGTCGCGGCATGATCTCCAGCTGTTGGGGGCTGAAGAGCCTCGAGTTTTGTCGGGCACATCTCATGGCAGCAGCTTTCAAAAGGCTCTGAGCACCGAAACCCGATTCCGCGCCCTGTATCAGGCTAAGACAAGGCAGGGTTTGCTATCTGCTCGCAGCGTTTTTGGTGAGAGCCTCATATTCGGGGATCAAGGGTCTCGGGGACTTAAGCTTTTCAGGGTCACTTCTAGTTGCTAAGTCGGGACGAAGAACTGACACGCCTACAAGTTGTTGTGGGCATCACCATGCGAAGCGCAACCAAACCCCATCAACCCACGTACTGCAGGCCACGCCTCGGAGCCTTCCCTTGAAGGTTTTAGCTTCAGGGCTACAGGTGTTTGCGGTCTGTTGAGAGGTGAGTCTGATCACTTGCACTCCGAAACGCAAGAACTCCTTACCCCGAAATCAACAGCTTGAAATCAACTCCTGCCGAGGATCCCCGACAGGCTGAAGTCCTTGCGGTTGACCTCTGGCGATGGATTCGAGTTGTGTCCCTAGCTGGACTGCGGCGCATATTGGCCCGCATGCTAACCTCTGTTTAGTCTACCGCTTTCAGGGTTTGTTTGGGTCGGCTTGCTTTGTGTTTGCTTTTTGTTTTGAAGCGCTGGATCCTGGCCTTCCATGAACAGGTCTGTGGTCCATGACGCCGGATCCGCCAAAAACAAAAAAAAACTTGAGACCCTCACGCGCAAACGCTTTTCGAGGAAACATGAAACACCTGCCAGTACGTTGCGTTTGCGCAAAGACAGGGGGTGCACCTCGTACCACAAACGAAAACGCGCCACGCCGAACATGCCGGCTCCATCAATGGCCAGAACATCCATGCGCGCACAATGACTACGTCCATGTTACCAGCGCATTAGCGCAACCATGCCCGCACGATGAAGGCATCCATGTGACCAGAGTGCCCGAATGGCCACCGGACGATAATTGCGCCCATTTTTCCAGTGCGTGCGAATGGCCAGCGCATCCATGCGCGCACGATGATTATGTCCATGTTATCAGGAGTGTGCGAACGCACAGAGCATCCATGCCCGCGCGCTGATTACGTCCGTGCTACCAACGCGCGCGATTGGCCAGAGCATCCTTGCCCGAACGATGACTGCGTCCATGTTACCAGTGCGCGACGAATGGCCAGAGCATCCATTCCCATGCGAAGATTAGGTCCGCCGCGTTAAGCTTTCAGTGAAACTAGAAAATCTAGCGTTTTTGCGCACGGTTCTTGCGTGCATCGAGTGGTGTTTGCTTCAGTATTTACACTGCTGTTCTGTCCTCTTGCCCAACGTGCGCACGTGTCCGGCTAAATGCCCATTTCGCACAGGGCTTCCGTTTCGCGCCTGCACATGAAAGGAGGGGGAGGGAGGTGAACTGCTGAGGATGCTCAGCGCTTGGGGTTGCCGGTATTGAGGCTGTAGAGGATGGATGCTGATGTTGCGGATGTTCAGTCCAGAGTCTGGAAGTCCATAGAAGCCTAGGGTGCCTCAAGCGTAAGGCTTCAGTTTTCAAGGAGCTTATACGGGGCGCAGAACTTAAGGGACTAGATGGCCTTTCGGGACCAAAAAGCAACATTACTGAGTGGCGCCCAGGTTGCTCCATCCATGAACTGCCACACGCACTGCTGGAGCCTATGAATGAAGAGGTCCCCAGCAGGAGCTGCTAAGAACCAGTTCTGCGGATGATCTATCCAGCTCACCCGAGTGTCCTTGGAAGTCTGCTTGCACGACCGTTCGGCTCAGGCTTGTGAATCTGCAGCAGGCAGTGGCAAGTAAAGCCGCCAAGCTTGAGCATACAGGCCTGTTGTTGCAGCCTATAGCCTGGCAAGAACTGAACAAAACTGACACTTCAGACCAGCCTGACGCCTAGAGTCGTTGTCCTTGAGCGACTGGTCTGTCCAAGGATACGGCAGCGCAAAGAACGTCCGCACGTTCGGGTCATCGCCAAGCATGTCTTTCAAAGAGTGTGTCATGAAGGTGGTGGCATCAACCCAGATGCCGCCGTACTTCTTGAGAATTGCAAGACCTCATCACACATGGTTTCAGCCGATGATTAGCCACTGCTGATGCACGAAAAAGGCAGAACCATATGAGTTGAGGAGCAACCGTTTAGTTGTCGAGGGATGTGCCCCGTCGAGAGGCCAAAGAGCACCGCAAAAGGCAAAGGCCCGTCATCAACCAACGGAGCCGACTCCAACCCCCACAAAGCCGCTAAATTGCATGAATTGCAAAGGAGAGCCACGAATTGCATCCGAGCGATGCTGGATGCTAAGGAAACGGAAGGTCGCCGGCAGCTCCTCGTGGGCGAGATACCTGGAAAGAGTTGATGCCATCTGCTGCCATTGAAGGGCTTACGAAGGCTTACCCTCCCTAGGGGGTCTGGAACGACCTGCCGAAACCCGAAATTCCTTTCCAAAGTTCAGGCTGCCGGTCCAAGGAGTCACTGTCCAGAAGCCTGGGCCATTGCTTTCGAGCCGACTGCCCATTCTTTGGGTTTAGCATGTAACCTTCAAGGTTTATAAGTCGACATGTAGGCCTCATGGGCTAGGAGAATGTGGAGGTGGTTACGTATCTCCTTTGCTTCAGGACGTGAGTTTCTAGGCCGCTGGAAACAAAAAGTTGGACAGTCTCGGAACCCGAAGAGGCCCCGGGCTCTTGACCAACCTGGACACTCAGCAAGGTGACCAAAATTCCCAATAGTTCCCCAGCTTCATCACCCTACTCCCAACCTGACACCTCGACAGAGATACACAGAAAACCTTTCAATCCAGCGTCCGGATCTGGTAGCTTGGGTTCAGTGCCTCCCACGAAGCACGGCATGCCTGATCGGGGCTTGACCTAACCTCAAACCCGAAACTCCGGGCAGTAGCTGGTTCATAAACAATGCTGCGATATGCTGGGAAAACACAGGGCTGGACTACTTATCGGCACCCCAGAAAGACCGGATCTGAATTGAGGCTCCCTTTTTTGACAACCTACATTCAAGTCCGCAGCCTCTACGAACTCGGTGAGAACCGTGGAGGCATGGGGCAGCCGCTCCCAAAAGCTCCTGCCAGGGTTTGGGAGCTTAAGAGAGATCCTCAGGACTCCAAGAAGTGCTGAATTGCGATGCTCTTGGTGCTGTTTTGCCAGGTATGTGTCGTTTACAGCCCAAGCTCCAGATGATCTTGGGGATGGGCAGCGGTTGGCCGGTGTAGTACCCCCTGAGTGAACGACTGCGCTCGGTGAGCCGAGTCTTTCCCTACCTGGCCTGAAGCTCTGAAGGCTCGAACCTTAAAACAACGTGCACGTGCTGCATTGTTTTGTTATTCCATCTGTTGGTCCTCGCAACCCATGCTGATTACAAAAAAACAATGTCTGGCCAGCGGCGGTGTGTTCCGAAGCACTTGATGCCGCCAGAAGCATCTGAGCATGGCTCTCTCGACTTCTAAGAGGGATTTCTGCACCAACATGGAAGCAAAAACCAACAAAAGCAGCAATCTGGGTAAGGCTAAGGAAGGTGCAGTGGAAGTACCGCGTCGTCGCTACTGCAAGCTATAGTTACAGTTAAAGGCTCAAAAGAATACTAGCACTTGAGTGGTCCTGGATCGTCAACAAGATCATCCGGAAGCCGCGAACACTTGAAAAAATGTTTCCAGGATCCCTTTCAAGAAGGCTGCAAGATGTCTCACATGCCCTGATAGGCTACAAGAACAGAAGAAACGCTGGCTCAGCGGGGGCGCCGCGTGTCGCTGCTGCCGCCACGGGCAGCGCTGGGTCGAAAGATGCCGTCGGCGATGACAAAGCAGCTCGAACCTTCTGCCTTTAATGGTTTGATGAGATTTTATGGTTTTCGGACTCAGTGTCTTGAACCTGCACTGTCTGAATAACACGAACTGCTCCCAGCACGACCTCGCACTGCCGAAAACCGAGGAGTCGTGCGATTTAAGAGGCCGAAAGCATCTTGAGGAATCAGCCGCTTCCCTATAACCCCTTTGAGTTTCAGGGGTCTTCTGTGGGGCCTTCTGTGATCACAGAAGTCTACAGCCTACCGCAGATCGGGTCTGATTGCGAAAGCATGCCAGCGCAACAGAATACAGCCGAACACTGACGCACTCGGACCCTTCCAGGTGCCAGAAGGCGCTTTGTTGACCCAAACTTTCAACCAACTCCTTCTAAACGGAAGCCTGGCAGCCTGGTACCCCGTGCAGGATGGGAGCATCTGGCACAGTTTCGAGCACTCACGGCTCGAGCCATCCGCGCGCGGTTCGCTGATGTACTGCATCGATCCGCCCCAGAAGTGCTCTCCTTTCCTTGTCTGGTTCAGGGTTTTTTTTCCCACCCGACTAGCCAGGGTTTAGGGTTTAGGGTTTAGGGTACTCTCATGCTTGGTACTCTCATGCTTGGTTCGTTGCTCATCCTGAGAAGAAGTGATCGTGGCGCTCGCACAAAACATCCTTGCAGCACTAAAGTGGACAGCTCCGACGTTCTCTGCGGGTGGGCCCTATGCACTAAGGGAGTGGAGTTGAACCAATTCCTGGTGCCATGACAGGGTGCCTACGATTTGGCACGCATGCATTGTAGATTGATGTCATAGCACAAAGTAGCCCCAAGTGTGGGCGAATCAAAAAGAACAAACTACAAAACTATCAAAAAAACTAAATGACTATCAAAACAAGAACTATGGGGTCGTTTTCTGGGTTTGCCTTTGGAAAAGCTACATTGTCCATGTATCTTCCTATCATTCATACTATTTTTCGTAGGACTTCCTATATATTCTTTGTTTTTGGTTCATTTTCTTGGTTTTCCCAGGAAAAGCTACATTCCCTGTATATTTTTGCAGGATTCATACTGCTTTTCGCAGGAGTTTTTATTCATTTTTTTTGGTTCGTTTTTTTGGTTTTACGTTCCGTCCATGATTTCAAAAGATTCATACTACTTCTCGTAGGATTTCATAAATAATTTTTGTTTTGGTTTGATTTCTTGGTGTTTCCTAGGAAAAAGCTACATGCCCACCATATTTTCATAGGATTCATACTACTTCTCGTAGGATTTCAAATTACCTTAGGATGGGTTTCAACAAGATTCATAGGCTTTGAAGCACGCTTTGCACGGTTTAAATCAAGCGGGGGGGTTGGGGGGGGCGCAAGCCCCGGGCAGCCCCCCCCCCCATTTGCAGCCACAGGGGGGCGCAGCCCCCCGCATTTGCAAACACAATGCTCACATGATGGGTTTCAACAAGATTCTTAGGCTTTGAAGCACGCTTTGCACGGCTTAAACGAAGCGGGGGGGTTGAGAGGGGTCGCAGCCCCCCCCCCCCCCCATGCGCAACCACAATGCTCAGACGATTGGCTTCAACAAGATTCTTAGGCTTTGAAGCACGCTTTGTGCGGCTTACAAGAAGCGGGGGGGTTGGGGGGGCCGCACCACCCCCCCCCCTTTGCAACCAATGCTCAGACGATGAGTTTCAACAAGATTCATAGGCTTTGAAGCACGCTTTGCACAGAAAAAAAACAGCGGGGTTTGGGGGGGGTTTGGGGGTTTGGGGGGGTTGGGGGGGGTTTGGGGGGGTTTGGGGGGGTTGGGGGGTTTGGGGGGTTGGGGGGTTGGGGGGGTTTGGGGGGGTTTGGGGGTTTGGGGGGTTTGGGGGGGTTTGGGGGGGGGGGGGTTGGGGGGGGTTTGGGGGGGTTTTTGGGGGGGTTGGGGGGTTTGGGGGGTTTGGGGGGGTTTTGGGGGGGGTTGGGGGGGGGGGTTGGGGGGGGGGGGTTTGGGGGGGTTGGGGGGGTTTGGGGGGTTTGGGGGGGTTTGGGGGGGTTTGGGGGGGTTTGGGGGGGTTTGGGGGGGTTTGGGGGGTTTGGGGGGGTTTGGGGGGGTTTGGGGAGTTTGGTTTGGGGGGGGGGGGTGCAGCCGCCTCCGTTTGCAACCACAATGCTCACACGATGGGTTTCAACAAGAGTGAAGAATGGAAGCACGGGGGGGGCGGGGGGGCGCAGCCCTGCAAGCAACCAGATTCGTACGCTTTGAAGCATGCTTTTTGCACGGCTTAAAAAAGCAGGGGGGTTGGGGGGGGGCGCACCCCCACCCCCCCCCGATTTGCAACCACAGTGCTCACACGATGGGTTTCAACAAGATTCATAAGAATTGAAGCACGCTTTGCACGGCTTGAAAAGAAAAAAACAAAGAGCGGGGGGGTGGGGGGGCGCAGCCGCCTCCCCGTGTGCAAACACAATGCTCACATGATGGGTTTGGTTTGGGCTTCAACAAGTTTCTTGGGCTTTGAAGAACGCTTTGCACAGCTTAACAGAAGCCGGGGCGTTGAGGGGGGTCGCAGCCCCCCCCCCCCCCCCCCCGTTTGCAACCACAATGCTCAGACGATTGATTTCAACAAGATTCTTAGGCTTTGAAGCACGCTTTGCACGGCTTAAAGAAGTGGGGGGGTTGGTGGGGGGCGCAGCCCCGCCCATTTGCAACCAAGGCTCAGACGATGAGTTTCAACAAGATTCATAGGCTTTGAAGCACGCTTTGCACCGCTAGAACAAGCGCGGGGGTTGGGGGGGGCGCAGCCCCCTCCATTGCAACCACAATGCTCACACGATGGGTTTCAACAACATTCATATGCTTTGAAGCACACTTTGCACGGTTAAACACAAGCGGGGGGGGGGGTGTTTCTTTCTTTCTTTATTTCTTTTCTTCTTTCTTTCTTTCTTTCTTTCTTTCTTGTTTTCTCTCTCGCTCGCTCTCTCTCTCTCTCTCTCTCTCTCTTTCTTTGTTTCTTTCTTTATTGCGCGTTTCTCTTTCTGCTTATACGAATTACGAGTTATTTAGTTTTTGCTTGATAGCTCTCCCGTGTGGGTGTCGCTAGAAGCGATTCCATCCACTTGTGAAGCAATGGTACACGTGCAGGCATACTGTAACTCTCTCTCTCTCGCTCGCAGACTCGGGAATCCGTCAGCTGCCGTCTGCCCACCGTCCATGTTAAGCAGTGCAACCCAACTAGTGTCAACCGACGCCTCAGGAACAATCTCCTACAAGATGACAGGAATCAACTCTCGACACTCAGTGCGATTGACATATAGCGCATGCACCGCTTGCACACTCAACTTGGTTTCAGGATCTGAAGTCTCAGAGAGCAGCTGTTGAATCGCGAACAAAGGGCGCGTCTGTGACATTGCCAACGGCAGTGGTCCTGGATAGCCGTCTCCCATGTCCCTGACTATGTTGCATCCAGCCGTGCTCCGGTTGCAACCACTTGAAGTTAATACAGTCAGGCGTTTGTACAACAACAGAGGCGCCAAACCAGGACACTTCATGAGTAAAAGCATGGTTCCAGCGACTTCTTGTACCCGCCTTCCATTCCGGAAGAAGACTTGGCAAAGGAATTTGATGTGCCTTCATCACTTGGGACAAATGTTCAAACCAGTCCTCCTACCATCGGGAAAATGCAAAAAAAAACGAAAAACGAAGAAGAGCGCGTTAGAGGCTGGCCAGCGGTGCAGACTGAGTGGCAAGGAATCACTTCCGAAAGCCACACGCAGCTGCACCGCGCTTGAGAGGTCTTTATATGTCACCAATGGAGTCCTAAACCTCATCTCAAGATGAACAGCTTTACCACCGCCCAAATGAACCAACTTCAGTAAAACAGGCGGAGACCATGGCCACGAACCATGGATAATGACATGTGGCAAGCAGATGCAAGCAGGGAATAGTGAGCACGCACCACTGGCAGCGCGAGCCATCCTGATTGGCTCCTTCTACTGGGCACATTAAGTCTCAGAGAAGGCTCTGGTTGATGCAGGCGCCCCTTCCCAGAAACTGGAACTCGTCCGGAACTTTTCCGGGCGGAAGGATCACAGAGAAGTTCGGCAGAGACAACTCGGTGGTGCAATTCGTGCTATCTGCCCAACTTTCACTCAACACTGTGACTAGGATTCGTATACCTGCATGATGCTAACAGCTGCCAACACACAGTCACACAGCGAAGTGCACAAGGAAAAGCCATTGTAGTGCCCACAGCCCTGAAGGCCTGGTGCCCGTGACCTGGGGCTGGAGCCTAAGGCGGAAATCCATCAAAGCCCCTTTGAACATGCTTTCTCCACCGAAGGCGCCAAGGGCGCCCTTGCTGCCTGCGTCCGCAGCCGCGGTGCAGCTGCGCCCGCTGCGCCCACTGCGCCCGCTGCGCCCGCCGGCTGGGGTTCGTCCTCAGGCCTGCGAGGTTTGTTTGCAGTTCGTGCCCCCATGCAGGTTTGCCAGCTTCAGCTGGTTTCGACTTCCGAGCTTCGGGCTTCGGACAGCAGATGGGGAAGCGTACGTCGGTGCAGCGAAAAGAAAGAGTACCGCAAGTTTTCACGGCTCCCTCCGGCTTTCATTCTGTATGTCCCCGGGGGCGGTGTTGCAGGCTTTGTTTAGCGGAGGATGTGATTGCAAAGAAGGCAACAGCTGGAACCGAGGATGCCTCCAGACAAAGGGAAGACTGACAAGGCAAAATCTGTTGGAGAGCTGTTGCACCGGCCGTATTACTGTAAGGCTATGTATCAAGTTAAGTGCGAACCATTAGAATGAGGCCACCAAACCCGAAGCAATTGTCTGAGTCTAAGACCAGACTTTCTGTCTGCTGCCAAGGAAACGGGCTACTGGCCAGGATGAGAGCGATAAGCACGCCCAGGCCCGCCAGGGAGAAAAAGACCACCTGGGAGGTTCACTCCGGACTAGGTGAGGTCCACCACAGGAGGGAGCCAATTATCAGGCTGAAAAGGAGATGGGAAAAAGCTGCTTAAGCAGTTTCAGACTTCGAGCTACGCCAAGTCGGTCCAGCTACAGACGACTCACGTTGCGGCTCATGGTCACTTAGTCTCTCGGACGAGATTGCTGTCCACTGCAAAGCTTCCTGGCACCCTTAGGTTTACACCCCTGTGCGGCTGGAGTCGCGTGAAACGCAATCCTCCACGCCCGTACTGCAAGCTACGCATCCTAGCTCGTAAATGCACAGAGAACGTACCCATCCAGCCACTGTTACGGTGTTGTGGTCACATCCAACACTTCAATATTTCCATGGTCCCACCGGACGGTCATCGATTCCGACAGCTTCTACTGCACAAGCTTTGTTGTTGCTGGTAGAAGCCGTGTTCTTGGCTGGGGTGGTGAGCGGAGCGAGTAGGACAGGCACAGTCACCGATCAGCTGATACGGGCTAGTGAAATCAACTCTCTGTCGATTCATGTCCCATGTCTGATGTACAGTCTCGAAGTTTGGTGTTTGCGACCTTCGACTTCGTCCGATGTAAGTGACCCTTGTTGACGAGGACGAGACCCCACCTGCAAAATGTGCGTTTTTTCCCCCAAACTTATGCCACTGCAGCTCCTGCTCTGCATTATGGAAACATCTGTGTTCAGCTTCTATGAAGCTGTGGATCAAGTACTGGATCAGATCTGTCGTGCACGGGCCCATCGAGGTAGAGTCGACCACTTAACAACCCGTCCGATGCAGGGTCATACTGGTCATAATCTCGTATGGGGCGAATGAGCCAGTAAAGCCTTGCAAGTCCAGGGAAATAAGGCGCTGCAACATCGAAAATCGTTGCTAAACTTGGGGCTATGCTGCGATTGTTTTGTTTGCTGCCAGTACATTGCGGGTGAGCTGCACGCCTTCTGTCCTAGGTGTTTAACAACCGCCTCTGCAGGATTAACTGGGGGTGTCTCAATCGATACTGATGCCAGACTCATTCCAGTTGGAAAGACACTGGGGTTATAGCCGGTTAGGGCTCTACTTACACTGCCTGCCGAGCTGTTCTTCAGAGCTTAAGACATCCAATCTACAGGAGGCACAGAAAGCTTGCGCAATCCAATCTTTTCCATCCCAAGGTCTGGTACAAAATAGGACTCTGCACTCGTGTCTAAACTGGTGGTTCACAAGCCTGCGCTGAAACCCGGGCAAAGCCACCTGGCAGACGTGTCCCAAGTGGGGACCAGACTCCACAATGGAGAAGGAGGAAGACCTTCCAGAAAGGGTTCTGTCTTCTGTTCTTCTTCTCCTGCCGAGGCATTTGTGAAAACGCTGTGTCCTCAATGCTGTCAATTTCGTCTACAGTTTCACAAAGAATCGGGTTGGGATGTGCCGCCTTCTACTAACAGTCCTTAATAGGGATTCTCATACCCCCCTATAATAATCCCTATTCAGGACTGCTAGTATACGGGGGACCTTCCAATGTTTCGGGCTTCTGTTTGAGGGGCTTCTGAGGCCTCCTCATCGCCGTGGCCGCGCAGTAGTCGCTGGGCACCAAGCAGCCAAGGCCATGGCTGCGTCACAAGGGCATTCGATATTGCTTTTTCGGGTTTAGGGTTTGGGGTTTGGGGTTTGGGGTTTAGGGTTTTGTTTTTTTGCCGCCCGCCAACCACCAGGCCAACCGATGGGTTTGCAAGGTGCCAACCAAGCCTTGTGTACCCTAGACCCTAAACCCTAAACCCTATTCCCTAAACCCGGTTTGGGGCTTCTGGGTCGCTTGGTCAGTATGCAGTCTTTCATCCAGGAACGGCCGAACCTGAACAACCGAAGTTCCTTGTCATGATTTGCCTGAGGCTACTGCCACAGCAGCTGCTAGCACGACCCTGAAGGCTCATCATCACCCTCAACACTCAGCCCTAAACCCGAAAGATCTGCAGGTGCTGGTTCGCTGAATCCTTGCTCAGGTCTGTTCATGTTCTTCCCTACATCACCTGAAGACTCATCCCAACCTTCAACCAACAGAAAGGCGGGCTTCTGGGACACTCGTTCTCTCTTGAGCCACTTTGAGCTAATTGGGACGTGAAAAGCCGGCGCAAACTCCTTGAAACCAGAAGCCCTTGATCTGCATCCTGGGACCCAAGCTCGTGCTCGAGCACGCCGCGCCTGCATTGCCGGGTGACGGAGCTTCATTTTGCAGGCAGCTTGGGGCAACTGAGGCTTGGCAAAGCTTCTCTTGCGAAGTCAAAGAACTGCTTAAACAACCGTGGCAAACATTAGGGACCTGCCATCCCTTGATTTTCAGCTGACATCACAGCCGCTTTGCAGCTCCAAACAAGACATCAGTCTGCCAGAAGGAGTGCTTTCTAGTTTTGGCTTGAGTTCGCGGCCTGTCTTTCTCCAGATGAAGGTGGCAAGAAGGTCGGGTTCGTTTTGGAAAATCAAAGTCAAGCCGGCGGTAGTCGCACAGCTCCAAACCAGGTCTACGATCCCTGCTTGGATCTCCCACCCTCCGTGGGTCCCTTAGATGAAGTCCGACATGTACTACAAAGCCATCCCTACTTCTGAGGGCGGCGCGAGGACAAAACAGCACCAGGGGACTGCAACACTTCAAATGTGCAGACATGCTCATAAGCACCCTTGGCGCCGGCAAGCGCAGGCGTGTGTGCCCTTGCGAAACTCCTCGAGAGAACACCTACCCTACTTCTGAGGGCGGTGCGAAGACAACCCAACACTCGGGGAATGCAACTACGAGCGCAGACATGACAAAAGGCCGCTTTTGGCTCGGTCACGCCGGCCACTTGGCGAAAGCGAGCTCGCGGACGGAAGACGCAGCGATGCCCGTCCACCGACCCAGCCTCCCTACGCTGGGTACTCCCAAACGCAGCTCAAGTCAGTAGGCCATCCCACGCCCTCAAGTGATATGCACTCGCTCATGATCAAGGTTACTACTCCGCCGCCAGCTCAGCACGGCGGCGCAAAATCGCCCGAGCCCGGTGCACCCTTACCGCCACGCAGAGTTCCTGCAATAGCTCGGCATGTGCGACCGCTGGCTCCGTCTGTGTACGCGTGGCTACCGCCCGCGAGATGTGGAGGAGGATCTTTGCGGCCGAAGTTTCCCAAGCTCCCGTGGCTTCCAGCACCATAGGGACAAAGCGGACCCCTTGCGCCGAGCAGAGCTGGGCGGTCTGCAGGTGGTCCATCTTTACCTGTCTGTAGGCCGCGGCAGTTGCCAACGCCTCCTGACCAGCAAGCGCAAGTGTCTCCGGCCGCTGAGGCGCCGTAATGGCGATGTCAAGCGCAGCCGGAGCACCAAACAAACTGGGAAGGTAGACGTCCGCGGGGCGTCGGCCCAGCGCGCCCAAGTCGCCCGGCTGCTGCGGAAGCAGCAACCCAGGTCGCTCCTTTTCAGGTTGAAGTCCTGCCTGGTCCGCCCAACGGCAGAGCACGTCTCGGACAGCGTTGTGGCGAAGCACCCTCTCTCCGCCAGCAACGCATGTGCCCGCGTGTAGAGACAGGCTGTCAAGGACCCCATCACATCGTGGACACCACGTGTCCTCCCGGGCGTCCGGAACCAGCAAGCGCTGACGGATCTCCGCAACAAAGGTGGCCGTTTCCATCCGCTTGGCTCCGCGGGGAACTGCTGCAAGGAACGCCCGCGCACCAGGCTGGGCTTCGGATTGCAGAAGAGCCCGAGCAGTCGCACTGGCCCCAGCAAGCTGTGTGCGCCAGGAGGCCACATCAGCGGCAGCAGTAAGCGACTTTTGTCGCATGCCAAGCGCCAAGTGCGGGGCCACAGGCTCGCCAAGGTCAGCCGCCGCCTGCACCACAGCTGGGTCGACAGCCAAACCCGCCTGCGCATATTCAGGGTCAATGGCACGGCAGGTGTCAAGGCAGCCCCCAACTGAGGCCAGGTAAGCAGCCGAAGCGTCCGCGGCAGCGGAGCGAACGCCAAGTCCGGCATGCGCTAAGCCCCGAGCAGCCTGCTGCCACTGCCAGCCGTTTAAATGCAGGCCAGTGAAGCTGGAAAAGCAGTTGCGCACCATGTCATCGAAGAGCCGGAGGGCCTCCAGCTGACCAGGTGGCGGGGTACACCTGGAGCCATGCACCAAGCGACAGTGGCCAGCACAATGTTTGAGCAGTCGCAGGGCAACCTGCGCGTCCTCAACCTCGGCCAAGGCTTCAAGGAGCGGCGCGGCTTTCTGAACTCTGCCCGCAGTGTGCTCAGCAACGAAGGCCTCGGTGCCGACCGCAGCCCCCAAAAGCTCAAAGTTCCAACGCACTTTAGACGAGCCATCAGGGGCCTGCAAGAGCTGAGCAGGAAGGTGCCGACCCAGGGTATCTGGGTCAAGGTCGCCAACAGCGATGACCTCGGACTTGGATAGGTTGAGCTGAAGGCCCAGGGCCGCACCACGCTGTTGCAGGTGGGCAACGGCAGCGCCTACCGCCGCCATATCCCCCGCAATGATCCCATCGTCAAGATAGAAGATGGTCAGTGCAAGCCCAGTCCGCAGCTCCTGCGCCAATTGATGCAAAGCGGTCGCGAACAACAGTGGGCCCAGAGGGTCACCTTGTTGCACGCCGCCAGCGGACTGCAACGTGGTTGATGCCCCGAAACGCAGCTGTGCCGGCTGGCCGTAGCACCAAGCAGTCCAGCGTGCCAGGCCTGGGAATGCGGCTGCAACGGCTTCCAAGACGGCCCTGCGATCAACATTATTGAACGCGTTGGTAAAGTCCAGCTTGACCATAACGTGGCCAGCCGTAGCATGATGGCGCTGGAGCCAGGCGCGGACAGTGTGGACGGCGGCTTCAGCTCCAGAAGGGACCCCGACTCCAAGTTGCACCGGAGCAAAGTACTGGCGGGCGTCATCCCGCACCATCATCATGAGGCACTTGCTGGTCAGCCGGCGCAGTATCTCCCCCACAGCTATGGGCCGAACGCCCCCTCCCGGCTTAGGCAGAGCAACCAGCGAGGCTCCGGCGAGCACCGGCGCAACTTGTGGGCAGGCACGGCCCTGTGAGAGCAAGCCGACAGTAGCAGCAAGGTGCTCCAGCATGCCAAGACTAGCGCCAGGAGGCCCAGCTTCGCGAATGTGTTGAACTCTCAAACCGCAAGGGCCAGGGGCCGTGTCAGCAGGTAGTTGCCGTAAGGCTTTAGCGACCACGTCCGGCACCACTTCAGCGGCCAGGGGTAAGCCATCGAAGTTAACCTCGGGAGCGGGCTGAGCAGGGTGCAGTGCCCGGAGAGCATTCGCGGTTTCCGCGTTGTCAGGGCACAGGCCGGACGAGAGCAATGCGTTGCAAGCCTTCTTGTGGAACCCCTCCCTGGCAAGGGCAACAGCAAACTCGCGCTTTTGCTCCGGTGTGAGGCTGCGGGCTCGAGGCCCAGGCAGCTCATGCTTGTCATGCCAGAGACCCGAGCGCTCTCCATCGAGCCAACGCTGCAGCCTGTCCAGCGTGTAAGCAGCAATGGCTTTGCGATGGCGTCGTCCACCTCGAGCGGGTGCCCCCAGCACACACTGCGGCAGCATGAGAAGCTCGGTCCACGCACGGAGGTTGTTGTGCTCCACAACCTCCGCCAAGGCCCTGGTAAACACCCGCCCCCAAAGGAACCTGGCTGCGGGTGGGACGTGCCGGAGAGTACGAGTACCACCTGCCTGTATGTCTGCCAGCGTCGGCAAGCCAGGGGCCCCGGCTTGGTCGGGCTGATCGCCCGCCGCAGCGCGAGCTGCGGGGTGGCAAGTCGGGTGGATCCCGTGCCGGACGGAAACACTGAGCCCACAGACGCGACATCGTTGTCGCCTCTGGGCCTGCATCCACTCAGCCGGCACCTCCCCTTGCAAAGTGCCAGCCAGATGGCAGTCAATGTGGGCCCGCATGCAAGCCACACTCGCCCACCCCTGGAAAGCCTGGCCTCGAGAGTCGCCGCAAGGGCAACCCCGCACAGGACAGTAAACCCGACCCTGAGCGGCAACACCACCGTCAACTTGCATGGGGTCATGACCATGCGGACTTTCAGGACGGGCACGTCTGCGAGCGGCTCCAGTAGGGTATGGGCGTTCCCCTCCCAGCGGAGTGCCAGGGGCAGGTGGACCAGGATGAGAGGCTTCACCCACTCTCTGCGCCCTCAGCGGCCATCCACCCCATCTTTGCAGTCTCGGCGAGCGCCGATGCCAGTTAGCCCGTTGGCGCTCAAACAGCCTCCGCAGCCTGCGGCGCGGAAAGCTGGGCACAGCCTGGCAGCCAGTGCCAAACATGCAGCTAGGAGCCGGCAATGCACGGAGAGCCCACCTGTCATTGAGCTGCGCGGTCAACAGCTGTCGAGCACGACGGTTGGCGGGCCCAAGATCTGGTGACAAGCGCCTGTCTTCATCCACCTCCCGAAACCCCACCGGCACCCCAGCAGCCCCCAGGCGGCCACAGCTCGCGGCAAGCAGGACCAAACGCAGTAGCAGATTTCGCTGCCACCCCGGGGACGGAGCCATGGCAGCCGGACTCAGTTTGAAACGCCGAGCCGGGTGCCCTCGGCACAAATTGCTGCTCTTGTGCCAGGTGCAAAAACTAAAACGCTCTATCGGCGCTGATCTTGACGACCATAATCACGGAATGAGCCTTGAACGGCCGATCCCGAACTACACATTGATGGTTGGCTATGCGATGCAGCAAGTGGATTCCTTCACCTTGGGCTGAAGCGCGAAGCGTTCAACTTCGGCTGCTGCCACCGCAGCGCCATCCTCTTCTTGCATCTTGGCACTGACCTCCGCACACCTCTCTTTGCACCTCAGGGCCTGCTCAATGGCCACCTGGCACTGTTGCACACTGGGCGCGAGTGGCTCGATCCAGGTACCCAAGCCCTTGCGCTCCACGAACTGGCCGTGGGACACCTGGTCTGCGACCATCTGTGAGAAGATGGGGCCTGCCATTTACAGACACAGCTCCAAGCCAGAGGAGCCCAGAGCAAGCTACAAAATGCTATTTGAACTGCTGCCGCGGGCACATACTACGACCGGCGCACCCGCCCAGAGGGACCGGAATGTAGTCCCCGCCCCACCATGGCAAATCACCACGCTAGCAAGGGGCAGTAGCCAATCAAACGGTGCGTAGTCCTCGGCCACCCAAATGCTGTGGCATGAGTGTTCTGGGCTCGAGAGCCTGAGATTAAGAAAGCCTTTGTTGATTTTGGGCTCTGGGTCTTGGCTAGTGTGGCTGACAAGCTGATTCCAAGCAAAACCTGCATCGGTGATGCCCCTACAAGCTAATTCTCTCAGAGGATCGAGCTCGAAGACGCCAGTTCCGGCTTCCCCGCCTGGAGAGGACTCGGTGAAGCTAAACTTGGTGTTCTCCCGCTGCTTTGTCGTCTTGGGCACGAAGTTCACCACATTCATGCCCAGCTGTTGGCAAGCACGGAGGACACTTCCCTGCACCTTCTCGACGCCCATCATGGATCCTTACTGCTAACAGCCTCACAACGTCATGATCAACGGTACCACACCGCGAACACGCAGCCAAGTATCCGAACGTGATCACGGCCGGTTTGCGACCCTTGCTGTCCCGCTTTTGCATGAAAGCTTCCAAGGCCTCCGAGGGTGTCCAGCCATCTAACTTTGGAACGAAAAGGCACCCAGTCACCACGTGATTGACGGGAAAATCGCTGGGCTTTTCTTGCAAAGTTGGGCTCCAGAGTCCTCGGCTTCGTCAGCACAAGCTCATGAAGCACATCCCCTGAACCATCGTAAATCCAAAATTCCGAGCTCTGGCAGTTCTGAAATTGTCTGGAACCTTGGCTTGCAGCAGTCAGTGTCCACCATAAACGAGGCAGCCTTGAGGGCTTCTTTTCTGCTGCCCTTTAGGGCTTCAGAACTAATCTCAAGCTTTTTTGTTAGGGTTTTGAAGTGTCGTGCCGGCGGTTCAGTTTGTGCAAGGATTCTAGCTTATGAGCTAGATTTTGTCCATGTCTGCTCAGGCCTAAAAGCTTAAAGGCTTAAAGGCTTAAAGGCTTAAAGGCTTAAAGGCTTAAAGGCTTAAAGGCTTAAAGGCTTAAAGGCTTAAAGGCTTAAAGGCTTAAAGGCTTAAAGGCTTAAAGGCTTAAAGCTCCGGATGCGGTAGTTTCTGCCTCTGTGGTCCTTGTACAAAGGTGTCAAGTTACCTAGTCGGCTGCCCACCCGCTGATGGTGGGACTCTCATTCGCAACAGAGACGCACACTGAAGCCTTCATCATGATCGATGCCCTCGATCTCGCGTGTTTGGGCCATCTCTTGCCTCGGGATCGCCCTATGCAAGTGCCAACGTTTATGCCTTCAAAGCAGATCCCACAGCCTAGCCGGGCCTAGCCTTGGCCTTCCAGAAGTGTCAACCATCAACCCTCGCCGAGGGTCTTCATGAAGTTGGATTTGAACAAAAAGGGTATGAACCGAAAGAGGAGGAAGTGAAAGTGCTTCAGCTTGTTCAGGAAGCCTGAGCAGCAAAGCTTTTCTGGTCCTAGCCATTGCGCAAGTCATGGGTTAGGATTCCGCCCTACATGCAATGTTGAAGTGACAGCTTAGCTAACCTTGGAGCATTGAAGTGGCTGACTGCAAGTTGACAATGCTGCCATGCCACCGTAGCATTGTGGGGAGTCCGCATAGCCGCCCGGCGGAAATGCACGAGTCGGAGGAGCAAAGGAGCCAAAGGAAAAGGCAGAGCGAATGATCTTGAGGTGAGGAAACATCTTGAGCAAGCGGACAGCTGCCTGCAGCGAGCTGGCAGCAAGTACTAGGACTCACGATTCCTGGCAGACTGAACCCGGCAAACCTCAAAGCGTCTATCGCAGGAGAAAGGCCACAAGCCCTGTCTTCGGACTGACCGTTTGAAACTTGGCACCCCATATACTGCCATATACCTCAAAGGTGATTCTACGTATCTACGTATTCCGATCTAGGGGTTGTTCCAGGTTCGCTGAGCGTCGCCGGATGTGATGACCGTGGAAACGATTGCATCAAAATGCTCCTGGGCTTGCGTGCGGGTGTGCGGGGAAGCACCGGGTAGCAGCTTCACTGTTGTGTGCGGGCCATCGGGGCCCACAATAGGCGAGTGGAAGCGCAGGGCACTTGCATTGAAGGGTCGTCAGTATGCAAAAGCTGCAGTGGTACCAACAAAGTGGCCGACAGTTCAAGCTACGTCGACTAAGAGCGCTTCTCAGCCCGTGCACCTTCTGCATCAAATCGCGGCAAGCTCGAAGAGAATCTGGCATAGCCTCCTGCAGCAAATAGTTCTGGAGCCAACAACTAAATCCATTTTTCCTGAATCCCCCCCAGGACTTCCAAAACCTAGTGCACATCCAAGGATCGTGACCGTTCCAGGTGATGCCATACTTGTGCTCAAGCACGAGGTACTCACGTGGATTGGTCGACCGACGAAATATCTCCAGCTCCTCTGTCCCGGCTTGGTGAAGACATGGCCCTCATCGCATCCTTCCTAAACACCCCCGAGTCTAAACTCAAGTCCTCCTGCGACATGACGTGCGTATCATCTCGAAGCTTGAACGCAACCGTTCCCAAAGTGATGGCCCGGATTCCATACCTTGCGGGACCACTGGCACCACCTACTCTGACCGTCAGGTTTAATTGAGGCTTGCAGATGGGTTCAGAAATTTTCAGAGCTTTGGCGTTCAACTTGGGGTGACTGCGGCTCGGATGGTTGGCAAACCCCACATCTGGGTGTCAAAGGGTTCCCATGGCCTTCCCAAAACACCCTTGAACCCAAGCCGGCTGGTGGCGCGCGGATGCACTCCTCTGGCCCGGGGGTGACACCCATGGCTACCTTGCAAACCGCGCGAAAGAGACCCTCAATTTGTTGCTTTCGGGCTTCGGGCGAGACATGAAGGGTCCCGTTCGAGTTTGACTCAGCTACTCTTCCAGGTCCTGGCAAAGAATCGCGCAGACTATCCTGCAGAGCACCGCCCTCACCCCAACTCCTGGAGACCCCAAGTGCCCCAAGTGCCCAATCCCGGATGATCTCGACTGTGTCCATCAAAAGTAGTTTTGGGCGGATAGTTAATGGTAAAGATGTGCTCTTTGGACTTTTGATTTCCTTGCGTCCCTGTTATTGGGACATTCCTCACAGGAAAGGGCTATGATGCCATGACAGCCGAAGAGCATGGCCTCGTTTCAGGTGGCCCCTTATCCCCAAGCCCCTAGGACAGAATGCCTGATGATAGGTACAGAACCCCCAAAGGCCCAAAGCCCGGAGCCCTGTCTCGATGCCTCGTGACCGCGGTCCTGCAAGGCCTTGCAGAGAGCAACCCCCGGCAGAACATCCCCGCGGGTGCCCACAAACCACCTGGGAGCGACAACTCGATTCAGGTTCGACAATTCAAAGCCTTTACTTCAAGATTTGAGGGTTTGGGGCTTCATCTTTTGTTTCTGGTCTGGGGGTGTTGGCATTGTGCGTGTTGTCTCGTTGTTCCATGGTTCCTGTAGGTTGAAGACCGGGCTTTGGCATTTTCGGTCGTGGTGGGCCGTCTGCGGAATCAAATCCAAATGGCTCCCGGCCTGTTTTGATCTGAACTGCTGTCATGGTTGTTGTCTAACTCAGCTCTTGGGCTTTGAGGGTCTCGACCATTGCAAAGTTCACAATGTCTAGAACTGCTTCTTGGTTAGGCTTCGGCTCTTCGGGATAGTTTCGAGGCCAAAGAGAATGCTAGCCTAGGCACACCAGCACCTTGAGTTGCTTCGGCTCCATGGGTTCATACCCCAGGTCACTGGTATGCGTGGGCTTGAGAGCAGCGGCTGCATTGAAAAAATCAATCACAACACTCACAAGCTGAGCCGCCCTGAAGCCCTTCGAAGCCTCAGATGCCTAGACCTTCCTCAAGGCTGTTCGAGGGCCCCCTGAACTCCCAAAGTCCTCCATGGAGCCGTCGTCTGGCCTCCACCAAGCCAGGCTGCCAAGCAAATCGCGACAGGCGCCCGGAAGTTCGGAAAGCGGTTCTTAGGATTCTGAAGTTTATTCTCCTTCTTGGCCCTTGACTTTATGCCTCTCCCTCCTGTAGCTGTAACCCCCAAAATCTTTTTATCTCAACTCCCAGTCTTATTCCGACACGCCTTCTGACCCTGAACCCTCAGAGCCGAAAGCTTTGCCGTGCTCAAGGTGTTGGCTGTTTGGGATTTGGGATGAGTGTTTGTTGTTCGCATTCCTTGCTTCCTGCTTTCCTCCTCCCTCCACGCCTTGGTTCCTTTTATACACCCGCTATGAATTATACGACGCCTATCTACAAAATCGAGGAAATCTACACAACATCCAGCGATCGGAATTACAAAGAAATGCCTGGAGTCCTCTGGCCAAGGAAAAACGCGCAAGAGAAGAAGAGACCCCCTTCATCAGACACAAATAGGCCTGAAGGTACCAAGACACTAGGGCCCGGCCCAGGTCAAACACAGGGCCCCCTGATTCACCTTTTTCCTCCCCGCCTGGGAATGTTGCCGCTTCCTCTTTTCTTTTGTCAGCGCGTGGCGACTATCTCGGACGTGCAGGCCCACTTCTGTCAGCTAGGGGAGCCGCAAAGACAAACCCCCTTAAAGGGTTTCAGGGAAACACTCCACACACATGTCTCTTTCCACTGCCAGCACTGCCAGCATTGCTAAGTCATCGAGCTGCACTGAGCTTGGGAGCTTCGCGGCGACCATTCCTTCACTGACAGGACTGGAGTCGATGGGGCTACGGCCCCCGGTGAATGGCGGCTCACTGTTCGAGCCAAATTCGTTTGCAAAGGGCTGAAGTGGGTTGGGGGGCTTGAGGTCTTCGCTGTGAGCTTCGGTGCGCGCTCGGGGTCTGTTTAGGGGCAAGACGCGCCCCAGAGCAACCCCGTCCACATGCTGCACGAATACGCACAAATAGTACAGTGCTCCATGTTTAGAAGCTGCTACCTCCAGGACAGCCTCAGGGCTACAAGGTGCACCAGTGTTGTTGGTTTTACTAACCTCCTCAAAAGGCCAGTCATGAGGAGGGAGCCATCCTATCTCTACTTGAATTTGATGCTGTGAAACACTGGCCCAGACGAGCTCCAACCTCCCTACATTGCAATGTGTTGCCATGCAAGTTTCGTACTTCTTCATATAAGGCTTTTCTGCATGGCTCGTGCAGACCACAGGCGGGGTCTCATGCAGCGATGTTTTTCGTCTGCTTCAAGAAAGATTGTAGTGCCTGGAGGCGAGCGTCGATGTCGCAGGCCTGAAGAATCGGCAGGGTCACGGAGAGGGGCTCCCAAACTGTCCATCAGTCCAAAGCCAATGAACACAGTGACGATGCAGAGAACCTAAACACAGAAGCTCTTCCGGATCAAAAATGTAAGCATTCCGGTAGCCAGCTATGTTGAGAGTTGCACAATAGGCAGTGCCAAGGCACACCGCTCTTCCACAGTCTGCCGGAGCTACAGTCCCTGAACCTGCTTTCGACCTCCGCCTCAGCCAAACATGCCCTCCGTCCTGCAAACCGGGCAAGCAAGCTTTCAGAACCGAAGCCCCAAGAAAACACTCTGGCTCGAAACCGCCATGTCCACCTCCGCATCTTCCCTTGGTGGGGCTGGAGGACCTGTGAGTTCACTTGCTGCTGTGAGCTCTGTGAGCATTGCATCGAGCCAGATTTTGGCTCAAAAATTAGCTAGGTTTTGACTTGTAGCGACCTCATCTTCCCGGCTTGGGTCTGCAGATATTTCGCCAGTCTGTCTCCAATGCCGACACTTTCAAGACCCGCCTGCACCAAGACCCAGGTCGGCAGCAAGGCCGAAAAGGCTGCCTGGCCTTGAAATCAACACTGCAAGCATGGCTGCTACAGGGGCCGAGCATTCACAGTTCCAATGGGCGCACTTCTCACAGGCTCTCACAGGCTGCAAACGACTCGCAGGGCAAACTACAGAAGCAGAAGGGCCCAAAAGCACGCCTCTGGCGACTAAGGGGTGGACTGATGCGGCCGGGAATTCGGCATCGCCTGTCCCAAGAGCTGCTGACATCACAAGTCTGGAGACAGGCGCTTGCAAAACGCACCGTCTGTCGAGCTCATTCCCTGGGTGCCCAAAAGGAGCATCCTCAACCCGAGCCGAACACCGATGTCATTCTCAACTGGCACAATGCACTCTGCAAGAGTCTAGACATCCACGTGTGTAATTGAGGGCTGAAGCTGATAGGGATTCAGGGCAACATTTGGGGTTTCGTCAGTTCTCCCTAAAACAGGCCCAACTCAGGCAGACTCAGGATCTGGTAAGCAGCTTGCACGGCCTCGATAGTTTAGGGTTATATAGGGTTTAGGGTTTAGGGTGGGCTTCCCCGACATCTTAAACGATCTCAAAAGCCCCCCCAATCTTGGCACCTCTTGCGCAGCGGGCGGTCGCACTGTGCCTAGGTTCGGACTTCTTTCGGTTTGACAACCGGCCCGGACGGGGATCTCAGAACATGCCATGGAGTCTACAGTTTTGTGTTTGTACTGCGGACATGGAGGGCTCTCAACACCGCACTGGGCCGCTGGCCTCCATACCGGCTGGAAGGAGGCTTTGGCCCCGCACCGATGCCAGGGCTTCCACCTTCAGGACATCTCAGGCTGATCGGACTGTGGACCCCCCGTTTCCCCTACGAAGCCCTCCAGTGCGGACTCTCAAGTACGGCAACATGTCGGCGAGCTTGCTAGGCCTGCACCCGTTCTTTCTCGACCCCAAAAACACGGAGAGCACAAGATGAACTGAGGTGTTCCATGAGCAACTAGCGTTGAGTCAATAGGCCTTAGAGGAATCTTTCAAAGTGCGGATGTGTCACTCGTAGCTCTGCAGCTGGGATGAGCTGGCTCGCACACTTATTGAAGGATGGATCACTTGCCTTCAACAATGAAAGGTCTCATTCTCAACTCCCAGCAACCCACGTGGGTTCAATGCTGCCCAGCAGACGGGCTTCACTGACGGGGCCCCCGGCCACGCTCCCGCAAGGACAGTGCCGAGGCGCCTGCCGAGCGCGGCGTTTGCAACGGTAAGGTTAGCATAGGCTTCGCAACATCTGATAAAGGGTTGAAACCAAATACGCGACACTTCACAAGACTTCGAGTCCATGTTCGTAGCAACTCGTAACAGTTCGCGTCGATTCCATCAAAAGCCTGCTCTTCTTGAGCATTCTTTAGCAAACCCTTTTTGCCTGACATCTTTCCTGTGAGGACCGTACCAATAGCCCACAACATTCCAAAGTCGCGCCTCGGCCATTGACGGCATTGGGCGGCGCAACCCGACGCTGCGACCTGAGAGAAATCGAACCGATGGGGAGACTCTCTGAGACGCGAGGATTAACGTTGTTTCACGGCATCGGCAAAAGCAGATCGTCCAAGCTACCGGCAGAGCTCCGGATTGAAAAAAGGCTTCGAAGCTCCAAAACACAAACAGTTCCGAGATGTTGCCCCCGTTCGCAACCCTGAACAAGCAACACACCTTACCTGAAACTGGCTTTAATGCAGGGAGGCTGTCTCAAAAGCAGCTGGCTGGGGGCCAGAAAAAGAACATCCCAAGGCAATTCGTATGCAGCATGCCTGCTTTAGCGAAAACCGAGGGCAATGACATCCCAAATCCGAAGCCGCTCCATATCTCGAGATTCCAAACCAGGATGCCCTGGGGACGGCGTCCGCTCGCGGCTGCGACTGCCACCAGCCGGCCGCCTGAAAATCGATGCCAGGCTGCAAGGCTAAAGTTTCGAGCTTCTTGGGCTGGGGGAGGGCTGTTGCAAGCAACGTCTGTGTGGGTGATCGAAGGACAAGACGAGGCTTGTACAAAAAAAATGGGATGCGTCTGCACCCGTTTCGAATAACAAGTTGAACCCACGGCGCTCAACATCGAAATCACGGCCTCCCATGATTCAATGATGCTCGTGCAGGAATCATGTGCCATGAGCCGAGGCCAGAGCCGATAGGGTGACACCGAGGGCGAGTACCCTTCACGGGTTCCTCCCCATGTGGACGTGGGACGCTCACGCTCTTGTGGACTGATTCGGAATTGCAGGGCAGTAGAGTCAATAGAGAGTTCACGACGTTCACGATGTTAACCAAAAGGGTTCCGGGTTCCTGTCGGGTTTGCGGCTGCACAGTGTACCTATTCAAAAAGCTCCATATCACCCCAAGACCCCGCGCCACAGCCAATGCCTTCGTCACGCCCGTAGCCTGGGGAGCCCGAGTTGTTGAGGCCCGCGGACCTGCTCTTCGACTTTCGCGCAGCATGGGAACATTCAAGCTTTGAGAAGCGAAAGCAGTGATGCAGAACAATGCCAGCTTGTGGCCGGGTCAAATGCCTAGTCTTTGCTGGGTGGAAATTGTCTTGGAGAAATCGCCTATTCGAATGGCACATGCGTGAGTAAGAACATATGCGTACACTTAGAGGAGAACTTCCCTATGTGTGCTTCCCAAAACCATCCCCCCGATCCGAATCAAGATGCAGGAGCTGGTTTCGGCCCATCGCCAAGGAGACACTGCAATCAGTCCACGCGACTGCGCTTGGCGGCCCTCTCAGCCTCTGTCTCTTCGGCCTCAGGCTCCTCGTCCTCTTCCAAAACGGAAAGGGATGGCTTCCAGACCTGGAGGGTACAGTCCTCACCCACCGAGCACATAAGGAGGTCCTCCATGGAGGTCCAATCAAAGTCCAGCATCCCCTGCCGGTGGCCTGAGTGGATGAAGCAGACCTCCGGTGCCTGGTCATCCTCGTCGCCCTCGTCGCCCACATCACACGGCCGGGGTGCGAGGTTCCAGATGATGGCATCGCCATCCTGGGAGCAGGTGGCGAGCAAATTGCTGGCCGAGATCTCTGCAAACTTGGCCCCGACGGCAGGGCACCACTGGATCTGGAGCACCTCGCCCTTGTGGCCTGGGAGCGTCCTCATCGGCAGCTTGAAAGCCCTGAGGTCCCAGATGTTCACCATCGCGTCCTTACCACCAGTGGCCAGCAAATGCTGGTCACTGGGGCTCCAGTCGACGGTCAAGCACTCTGCCCCCGCTGCCAGCAGCTGCGACTTGGACAAGGCCTCCCTCACGTCCCAGATGGCAATACCACAGTCCTCCCCAACCGTCGTCAGCTGTGGGCTATGCTTCGAGAAGCTCAGGTCGTTGAGGGGGCCATCATGCGCCACGGTATCAAACAGAGGCTTTGCTGATTTGCCCGGTGCTTCGGTGTCCCAGAAGGACAGGGACCCGTCGTTCCCACCGGTCGCCAGCCATGAGGCAGACAAAGGGCTCCAGGCCAATGCGAAGCCATCCACTGCCTCAGCAGAGTACTGAAAGCTTCCCAGCTTCACTCCCATTCTCTCCTTGCCTTCTTCGGACCTCTTGTAGTCAAAGAGGGTCACCACACCCGAGGAGCCCTTGGCAGCCAGCAACTGTGGCTTGGAAGGGCAGGACACAAGGCGATTCACATCGGAGTCGTGAGCCATGCGGGTCAAAAGTCGCAGGGGCGCCTCATTACCCTCATTGTGGAGGGGCCTCGCACCGAAGCCGCAGGAGTCACGGAGGCCTTCCACACCCCAGCTCCTCCACGGGTCACTTGCGAGCTCACTGTCTGCTACACATGTCAACTCCGCGACGACGATTTGGGACTGGGAGCCACTTTCTCCGTTTGTGGCTTGTGTGCCAAAGGCCAAACGGGTACATTCCTCATCCGCCTCATCAGCAAGCCACCGCACGGAAAGAGCAGGGCTCTGCATGCCGAACTCCAAGAAGATATCGTAAAGCAAAGGTGCGTTCCGGCGCCACCGCATGATCTCATCGAAGGTGCGGTTGCCATCCACCAGGATCTCATCCCCAATGACTCCCATGTCCTCTCCAAGGGCCTGTGCCAGAGCAGCGGGGTCAAGCTCTCTGCCCTCGTCCGCCATCGGGTTCAGCTCTTGGAGAGACGATGCACTGGTCTGTCTCGCCTATCAGCAACGAATATAAGGTAAGCAACACGGTAACGGACACGTCCATATGCTGCCATGCTAACTATACACGACGGTGCATGCACTGGTCTCGTGTCATGAGGCCTGCCTCTCTGTCAGCGGCTCCCATCTCTTGAACCGAAAGGTAGATCACGATCTTTACAGGGAGCCAATCTACGTGCATGCGACGCAACAAGGAGACCGGCAAATCCCACACGGCACAAAAAGTGAGGAAATCTGAGATGTTAAACCTCTCAAAACACGAGGACTTGTGTCAGCTTGTGTCAAGGGCCTAGGATCCTTCTCTTGCTCAGGCCTTCTTCCCAGTGAGTCGCCCCGCTGCGGCTGCCCAGGTGAAGGCCTTTCAAGAAGCCAACTCTGGGCCTAGGGCTGTTGACTTAGGATTCCAAGCTCTCAACTCGAACAAAAAGCCCAAAAAGTAATCCGACTACCACCCGCCAACGCGCCAAAAGCTCGGCCTCTCGAAGCCCTAAAAAACCCTTCGGGCTTCGGGTCGAGCCATAACTGCTTTCGTGCGCAGGTGAACTGAAGACGCGATCAGTGGGCTAATGTCCACATGGGAATATGGGAAACGGGGAATCAGCAGATGTCGGTGGCAATAGCCCCTTGCCTAGCGCGTTGTGCAGCATTCTCTTTTTACTTCCAGCGGAAAAGACTGCTGCTTTAACTATGCATCGTTGAGGATGCGTGGCTTTAAGGCTTGAACTTTGCCGGACCTGTGACACGCAAGAAGGCTTAGCCACTTTTAGGTTGACAGCACCTCATGCCCAACACCTGCAATCCTACATCAAATATGTCTCCTAGCCACGTGTCATAGAGACCCTATGAAACATCCTTTCCACACGAAACCGGAGGAGCACCTCCCGCGGCGCTGCAGAAAGGAGCTCGGCGAGGGCGTGCGCCTGATTGGGGTATTGGCCTGGTATAAAACTCTTTAATATGATGAATATAACACTATATGATATATGATATTACATTATTATGTTTTACTATGAGTAGATTAGCATATTCATATAGGGGGGCATCTTTGAAGTTGTAGGCTTCTGCTCCATGATCTGACAGCCGTGGACGAGACAGATGTGGGCGTGTCGATTAAGGCTTTGGCGATCTTTACCATCGGCGTGGCTGGGCTAGTGCCGGGAAATTTAGGGGCGCAAATGCTTAAAATACTAAGTTTTCGAGCGGCTATAAGGAACCGCAGAGCCCTATTCCTGAAACATTATAACTTTTGCAATCCCACTGACCTGGTGATGCATGGAGAGCAATTTTCGGGATTGAACCGTGCTTCAAAAGCCAACGGCGACCGCCTACAACATATCACCACGACCACACTTAGCAAGAAGCCTTCAAGATTCAGGGGCGTCTGCCCAACTTTTCCTGTAGTCTTCCACCAGCCCAGGCTACCACTAAACCCGCAACCCTAAACTGCCCTAAACCCCAAACCCTAAGACCCTACACCCATGTCTCGGCGGCCCCCACTCGCGTGACGAGGCTGCTGACGAGGCTCGGCTGGTGGGCCTCTCTGATGAAACGAAGGACAATGTCCATTGGGATGTTCCCCCTTAAACTTACAGTCCTTCATGGGGATTGTAGTACCCCCGATAAAAACCCCTATTAAGGACTGTTGGTATAATGGGGAACATCCCAATCCATGACATAGCTTGGGTGTTGTCGGTTGCCAGCACTGGGGCGCACCAGACCCAGGGTCCACATGCGTCTGAATCATAAGTCTTCAGGAGGCTTCGGTTGGACGAGGATCTTGAGCAGAGCGCTTTCGAAATCGGTGGATATCTCGACTACTCAACTCTTCTTTTCGCGGTTCCAGATGGCTCCGACCCCTACCCCTTCGAGGCATGATCAACCCCTAGCCCTTCGAAGCATGACAACCGATTGCCGCTGCTTGCAAGTGACCAGACTAGTCAGACAAAGAGATACGTTGCTGCATTTTTTTATGTGCCCGCACATTGAAATCATAAGGGGTACCGATAGATCAGTACCCCAAAACTTTGCACCCCTTCCTTGCATAGCGTGCAGGGCCTGGAGGGTTTGATGGTCGAAGCGGCTTCAGGTCTTTGTTGTGGTTTCGAAGGCTTAGGTCTTGCATCTGCAACGCCATGGAAGTTGAATTCTCGCTCTGAGTCCGTCTACTTGGCATGAAGAGGTTTCGGGCCCAATTTCGGCCAAGCCTGAACTGCTCATCCAGCAATGCGCCACGACGTCACTACGTGCGCAGGAACTCCTCTCCACCTCAACCCCGCCCCTCCTGGGCGGCGGCCGCGAGGCGGGCCGAGAACTCGAGAGGGGCCTAGAAAGGTTGGACACATGCGCTCTGCACATGATTGTGATTGTGAGTATTATAGTTATGATTCTGATAATAATTCTTATTATTATTACGATTATGATTCTTACGATTCTGATCATTTGTCTTACTATGATTACGATTATCACCATGCTGCGTCATGTTGCTAAGTGCTTCAGAGAGAGCTCATTCCAGGAGGCTATCTGGAAATCCTACAACTGCGACAACTAGGTGGTTCTCGGAATTCTTCCCCCAGAAGCAAGAGGCTCAGAAGCCCCCTACGCCCTACAACACCAACCCTCAACGCTACGAAGGCACTCCCACGAGCAGTATTTCGATGTCTCAAGCCTAGATGGTGGCCGTGCCCTTTCCGCAGACGGGGTCCGCGAGACGGGCCGAGACCTGGCTGTCAATGGGTTTCTAACTTTCAGGGCTTGGACAAAGCTGGGAAGATGTGGATGCTCAATGGACTGTAATAGGATTTTCAGGGGTTTGTAGTAGTGGTTGATGAAAAAATACTGCTTTCTGTGATTCGACTTGCGATTTGGCTCAGGTACGGGAGTTGCAGGAATCAATCCCACCTGTCCAGTGGGTGTTGTGGCTTAGAATCTCGCTAAGAATGAAGAGCACCGCTTCGAAGTGCTGATGCTGTGGATGCCCTATCAGGCAAGGATGCCTTCTGCTTCAACACACCGATCTTTCTCACCCGCCCTTGCGTGTTTCAGCCTCTGCACTCACCCACAATCCCAGACATAGATGTGTTCGAGGGGTCCATGGCTAAGACTCTACCGGCAACACTCACATGGATCATGGTACATACTGACAGCACTGACCCTGCACAGCACTGCACTGTACCTGAATTCTGATGCTGCAGTGCCTCTCGGCAGAAGGCCCACGTCCTATCCGAGCTGCCAGGGTTCGCTTCTCCTGGTCATCGGAGTTATAGTCACGACGCATTTACTGCCTTTTCGTGTGAAGCCCAGCGAATGAAAACGATTGGATCAAGCCCGTTAGGTATTTGAGGATTGTATACGTACGGCCATCCTTCTTTGACAGGGCATGGGCAAAAAGACTGATCCTGCGAAGCCACTCCTGCGATCAAGCTAATTTTGGTGAAGTCAGGTGTCTGTTGAGGAAGTGCCACTCCCCTTGATCAACTACTTGCTTGGGAGGACACCTCCTGCTCACCTCCCTCTCACCCGTGTAGGACCGTTGCTCAAACGGCAGCCCAGCTCCAAGATCCTCCCGCAAGCCTAGGACTCGACTAACCAAGCCTGATTCCCAAACCACATTAGCCGAAATAGCATCCTGCATCACGAGTCCCTAACTCTTTCTTTGCCTCTTCCAGCTTCTTCAGCTGAGCCTGGAGTCGATCCGCCTCCAGGGTTCCAGGTGTTCGGCTTCGTTCGTTGTTCGCGTTTCCGAAAACAATCCTGAAAGCAGAAGGCGATGAATCGCTAGGACTGTAAGTCCACACAACCTGGCTAGCTGGCCGAGCCACACGGCTTGCTTTTGGGCTCATCTCAATCAATGTTGACGAGCTAGATTACTGCATCTTATGTTTGATAACAAACATTGGCGAAGGCTCACGGCAGTTGGATCTTTGCATCATATGCTTGTGCCTTCTGAGAGCAGAAGAAGCCACGTGCCATAACAAACATGCAGCTAAAATTGCACAAATCAAATCAAAGTATACGAAGAGAAGAAGTGCACTATTTGTCTGTCCGATAACAGCGGCGCCATTCGTACAATGAAGCACCCTTTTGGCCCCCTGAGCCACGAAGCCTTCTTTCAGAAGCATCCCTAACCCTTTTGGCCACGTTGGGCCTTCTGCCGCTCCGCCCGCAGCTCTGCCGCTTCCTTCTCGCGCGAGCGCTTTTGCGCCAGCCTTGTCAAGGTGAGCTTATGCTTAACATGCAATGAGTAATTGCTCCTTTCTTGGTTGGGTCCCAGGCCACTTTCATGTACTCCAAAGCAGCCAAATAACAACAATTCTAGTCCTGAACTATCAAAAAGCTGGACTTGCTGACTGCCAGACACACCCACCTGCCTTGGACTAAAACAACAACAACCGTCTGGGGCCGTGTCTCTCTTTGCTTCAGTTCGTCTTTGAGGCTCTTCACCTCTGCCTGGTCATTCCGCCACACACAGATGGACCCTTGCAGCAGGCCTTCTACCTGAAGAAGCCGAAAGCCTCAAAACCCTCAAAACCTTCTGACACAAACCAGCAAACCTGCCGATGTGCAAAGGCGCAGTTGTCACGGTGATCCCTCTTCCAAGTACCCTGCAGTGGCATTTCCACCCATAATACTTTTTAAGCGAAAGACAAGCGAGAATACACCCTTCCCCATCTCCTCCAAATCCTCCAAGAACTCTCCAAGCGCTCCGAGGCTTTTCGAAAGCTTTTCGAAGGCTTTTTTTGGGCCCTCGCCTTGGACCGCGTCAGCTCCGCCTTCAGCCGTGACACCTCAAATCACTTTGGTTCAGCTTCGAGGTTAAAGTTAAAGCTTGTAAAGCTTCATCTGCAAACCCGCGGATGGGTAATGCTTGGCAGGCAACTCCCGAACTTCATATGCCGAACCCTGGATGCTCGGGTGCTTATACGTCCAGCCTCCTCTGCACGGGCATGGTCTTGTTG